ACGTCAAGCGAAAAGAGGAAAGTGGCTTTTTTACTTCGAGAAGGGGAAATGACTTGACTTGACAAGCGGCAGAGGCTGTCGAATGAAAAGGGTATGCCAAGAGGGAAAATGATTCGAAAATATTGAAGAAGAAAAGAGAAAAAAGTAAAGAAGCAGTAAAGCAAACCTGCTAAATTTAGTGGTGATTCGATCTTGAGAATCAGAAGACGTCGAGGAAGGAACTACCTCATCCAACCAGACATGACTGAGATGAGACACGAGGCAAACGAGATATCAGCTTCGTGTTTGCTTCATCAATCGCTTGATTCAATCACTACAAGCCTCTACTGGAGCACGATGCTCGTTCTACGGATATTCATCTTCTTTCGGTCCCCCACTTCAATCTTACAACACATGGCAAGGGACGGAACCGCACGTGGCATCAGAGACAGCCACGGCCCCGAGAACTATTGAACCTTTTGAACAACAACATATGCAATGTGATTGTGATATAAACTCCTCTGGTGCAGAACAAGTCAACTTCAGAGTTCAGTTGATAATGACTCGATCGATTGAGCAATTTACGTCCTTTCACAGCATCCTATTTGGGCATACTAATGCTGCTAGATTTCCGAGTCAGCCTCAATCCCACCCACCCAAAGTCACTTCTCTGGGATATTCTATGCAAGTCTCCCAGGCACAATCACACTGTCACATTTGAACCCTTGTTCTTCCCCGGTGCATGATCCCTGTACAAATCTAGGTACGTTTCTTGCACATATCTCTAGACTCTCCTCTCAACCCTCTCTCCCTTCGTCCTATCTCACTATCCTCTGTGTACTCACTTGCGCTGACTCGAGTACCAGCAGCATTTTCTCAATGATCCACTAGCTCTTGTCGATCCCGTCTTCGAGATGCAAGCCAGGATCTTTGTGCAGATTGTCCGGTTCGCTGATCTACCAAAGCATTGACCACGCACCACGGCCCAGTGACAACCGCCGCGCGTGTGTGGTGCATTATTCGGTTTCCCAATAGCTTGCGGTCGGCCTGCCCTCTTTGGTCCCAAAAGGAACACCGGGGCTAGTCTTACGCTTGACAAGGGAGAGACAATTTACACTGGTAAATCACCCGGGACTAGTGACCACAAGTCAGGGGTAAACCTACTGCCCCTTAGGAGCAAGAAAACCTGGGACCTTGATCACAAGTGACAAAATAAGCCTTATGAGAAACCTACTAACCTTATGATGACTTACTCAAGATTATGGCGGTCTGCACAAATATTTTTGTCAGCTAGGATCAAGGTCCCAAGTTTTCTGACCTCCCCTGGCCTGGAATTGGACGCTCATAACGGCTTCTTCTTTCCATCAAGCTTCTGCTGACTCTCGCCCATAAAATGGACTCTTGTGCCTATTGGACGCCTGATAGTAATAGCACGGGCTATTAAGAGTCTGTGCGAACATGTCTTTTAATGTTGTGCATCGTCAATCCACGCCTCACCCGCACGCACGAGCATGATGGTTTATTAGTGACGTTACTTTCCACAGCACAACTTTATTTAAACAATATCAGAGTTTAAGCATGAATAATGAACAGAACTGCTTTTCTCACAGCTTGTCGACTCTTCAAAGGTTTCTCCCAAGGTCTCGCATCATCGTCGATCTAATCGATGAGTATCCACAGCTTCAACCCGACAAGCAAAAGAACCTTTCCTCACAACAATCACAGCAGAAAAAACAGAAGCTTGGTACCAAGAATGGCTCTGACCCTGGATATCATCGGGCCGGATCGTCTTCCCCCGGCGGACCCAAATCAAATTTGGTGCTTCACCGGGGGGTTATTCCGACTGCTCTTTTGAATCCCAGTCGTTTTGTTCCTGGCTAAACGAAGCGGAACCAGTCAACCGCAGGCTAGAGAAAGAAGGCCAAGGTTGCAGCCAGATTAGGGGGGATGGAATTTGGGAAATGGAAGCTCGGGAGAAGGGCTCACGAATGTGATGGCTAATGTGGAAAAGTGCCGCCTTTCACATTCCAGTCGACGGACAATATTAGCGAACCCAGAAACTCTCCAACGTCCAGGTTAACTCGTTCAGGAGATCTTTAAGCGATTACACGCTAACTAATGAATTGGGTCTTGGTAATGCACTCAATCTTGCATATCCATTCCGCACCATTTTTCACGATTGCCTCAATTCGGACGAAAGGGTGGCACGAACTTGGCCGATATCTACATACGTACAATGGCCGATATTACGGTGCATCCCCAATATCTCAGTAGCATTTTGCGTTGTTTTTCATCACTACTCATTCACCAGCTTTCACAAATCCCATGTCTCCCCAATAAAACCCACCCCCTGCCACCGGGAATCTTCCCCGAACGCTCCCTCGGTTCCGTCATTTCATTTCAGTTTCTCGTTAACAACGCCCTTTCTTCTTTTCTTCCCATCCATCCCACATGGCAACCTTTCCTCTTTGCTCCCCAGCTGGTAAACTCTCATTCAGCCTTTACTGGATATTGACCATGTGCGTGGCGTTGGGCTTTCTGCATTAGGTTCAACTAGGCTTGTCCTAGATACAAATCCGTGTCTGTGCCGTGCCCCAGACTGTGGACGGTTTTTGTCTTGCATGACTCTTGCGCTTTGATCTCCAGTTCACGCTGTGATGACCTGATCCTTATCCTACTGTCAGGACCATCTCTGTGCCCGGGTTGAGAACATGTGAAGGTTGGCTGAGACAAGTCATCGAGATGATGGAGAAAAGAGTGAGAGATACCGAAAAGAATACAGCTTTTTCTCAGGGTTCACGAGGCAGCAGTAACTCCCCCTGTCATTACCACGTTTTACCACACTCTGGGGACTCTTGACGCCGCAGAAGCGCATAAATCCCATCAACCCAAACCATGCATCTCCCAAAAAGAAACCATTTCCGAATATCATCCAACACGCCCCCATCCCATCCTCTGCACCATCTCCCACTTCCCATCCCTAGACCCAACGACTTTCTTCGAGAACAACTCACCAGGGGCAATCCCGGACCGTTTCAGCCATGGCCAGAAACAGACCTTCCCTCCGAAGATCCCCTTCGCTTCGTTGACCAGAGAGCCGGTAACCTAGGCTGTTCTCGTCATTTAAACTTTCTCGCTTGGGTTTCAGAATACGGGTTTTGTCCTGGCTAACGGCGGAGGTTTTTTTTTTTTTTTTGGGTGGGCATGTTTGCGACAGGAGAGCAACAGAAAACGGTAGCTGACTCGGTTGGGGATGACGATTGATTGCCTGAAACGCACTTGGAATGGCATGCTGGTGATGAGATAGATCGAAGCTTGTCTGTTTCCGGGTGAGGTTGGGCTGAAACTGAGGTCCTTTGTGAGTGGTGACAGTTCCGATGAGATTTAGTCTGGATGAACATGAATCGGCGATGATCGTTACGTCAACGATGTAATAGGAGATATCGCAAGTGTCCAAAATTGTCCAGTGCTTGCGCCTCGAGGACCAAGTTGGATAAAGAATGCGAGCCTAAACGGACTCGAGGCCTGCTGCCTGAACAGCATGAATGCTAAGCTTTGTCTCATCAGCAGCCACAAGCGGTTGAGCAGCTTAGCTGCTCGGAGGTGCTTATCAAGGGACACTCAACTGAAGATGGGTTTACGCGGCGTCGATATCTGAAACTACCTACCTTTGAGTTTGTGCACTGATAAGTGCCAGTAGTCTTTCAGCCTTATTCATGCCTTACACTAGTTCAGCTGAGATAGCATAACAACAACGTCACGACATGTACAAGGCATAAACGTCCAGTTGTGGCATTCAAATTAAGTTCACAAGTTGTGACTGTAACCTTTGCTCCGTCGGCAATGGGTTGCAGATAGAATGAATTGTGACTGTAGTTAACTGCCGAGTTGTTGCAACGAGCCGTGTTTGACGTTGCGTTTAAGCTCATGGATCATCAAACTTGCTGCCGCGTGTATAAGTCATGTTACCTGACGATATGTCCGTCGGACAGGGTCCAGGTGGGATTGCGAGAAGGGCAATCATGGAAATAACTGTAATCTGCGGACATGACCTTCAACTTCAGGCTCCACTGGGAACGTCCAACAGTTACTTTATGTGAGCCCAGAAATAGAAACTGAGGACATCTTTCTTGCCATGAATCTTGGCTCGGTTCATACAGCGCTGGAGTATGCTTAGGAGTCATGTTATTCTCAAATCATACTGCCTAAGCCATTTGAGATCGAGACTGGTTAGCACGCAACAATGATTTTGAGCTTATAAGAGTGGGTAAATGATTAAAAGATAAATTAGAGACTTAGAAGTAATCCGAGACATAGACTCGTGGCTGGTTCCGTTAATTTTCTCTTACCCTCAAACTTGTTAGAGTGGCTTGCTGTAGCGACGTGTCTCGGGTAGGTTCTGAATAGCCTCATCGGTTCAATGTAGGTTGAGACATAATTAGCATGCTACAGTTTCAGTTCCTAGAGTAAACGTAATTAACAAATTGTTTGTGTATGCTTTTACTGCCCATCGAGTAGGCTGTGTCCTCTAGACTTCTGAGTGTGGTGTATGAGACAGAATGCTGCAGGCCTAATTGGCTATAAACCACACCAACCAATGCTCAGCTCTTCAGCTGGTGTTGGTCACGCTCTTTTCTTGAGCCATTCATTCAAGAACTCGCAGTAAACTCTGGACTGTACAGAGACCGTATGAAGATGAGCTTCACGGTAGGCGGTATTGTGAAGCCTTCTTCTCTCAATCAGTAAATACTTACATTCTACCGAATAGAAGGGAAGAGTTGGCCGCCATCTCCAATTGAATACCATCACTCGTCATCTTCTGCTTCCAGCCTCACTGTCTTACTAGGTGGCGCTCTCCCAAGGCACATCAGCACAGCCTCATCAGGCTGTCAATTCGATCAGTGCCGCCCAACTTCTTATTTTCGTCTCCATTCACATCCCAATCATTTCAGGTCGAACAAGAAGCATCACCTACGAAATAGTTACATCACTTTCATCGCTGTCTGCGTGTAATTTCCACGATGTCAGGTCTAGAAATTCTTGGAGCGATCGCAAGCTCTATCGCTCTGGCGCAGGCTGTCCAAGGGACACTCAAGGCTGTCGACTTTCTACGCCAAAACTCGGATATGAAGGGGGAATGTAATAAACTGAGGAAGGAAGTAGGTTCGAGTAATTAACGTGGGAACAACTTGTGCTAAAAATGGCAGATCCTCATGATCGACTGCTTCATCATGCAGGCCAGAGAACAGACGGACCCGATGATGCCAGCGCAACGACTCCTTGGATCTTCAGAACACCCGCTAGTCTCCTTGACAATACAAGAGCTTGAAGAGATACTGGAAGAGCTTAATGAGATTGTGGAGAAGTACTCACGCTCTCGCAAAGTCCACAACCCGAAGAGATACACAGATAAGGTCAAGTGGTTATCAGATGCCGGCAAAATCGAGGAGCTTCGGGAGAGAGCTCAGGCTACAAAGTCCAATCTGCACATGGCCATCACATTTAGGGTCTCTTCCATGATAGATAGGGGGAATGTGCGACAAGAAGTGTGAGTTCCCAGGGTGTCGTCCGGTATCTAAACTGACACATTAACAGTCTCTTTCATCGTGTGACTCAACAGTTAACTTACTATACTCAAGAGACTCACAATCTCTCTCAGACTTTACCTAAACTACTCCAGGGACCCCAAATCATGCCGGAAAGTTCAGTCACAAGTTTACAACCATGGACGCAAGGCACCATGTTTCACAACCAGCCGGATCCGCCAGCAACGGAAGAGAACAGAACTGCCGAGGACTCGAAAATGTTCTCGAGCAACAATGCAGGTCATGGCCTTACCAATTTCCGGGAGGAGAGCTTCGTCAGCCTGTCATCAGTCCAACCACTGGGCACACGTTCATGTGGCTCGAAATGCCAATGTCGATGTCACCGAGGACGACGAGACCGCACTGGTGTATGGGCAGTCTCCCTCTTCTCTTCATGGCTCACTCGATATGATCACACCGACGACGCCAGTTCGCAAAGCAGATGCAGATGCAGGTCCAGCGCCGAGTTCGAATTTCGGCTCCCAAGGTGGCTATGGGCAGGTGTCCTTTCATTTCAGGCATCCCGAGGACCCAATATTAGCCTCTCCTTACGCCTATCCAGGGTTCTTGAATCTAAAGATGACTTATGGGTTACGATGGCAAACCCATCCTTGCTAGAAGCCCGCATTAGAGAGGGGATTGTATACTTTCCAGATGACACAGTTGGAAATGAGTGGCCTTTATTATCGGTAAGTGAACCAGGCGTGCGATAGCGTGATATTCTTGTTGATGAGATTTCCAGATGGCATTGTACAGTGAAAGCCCTGACTCTGTAGAAATTCTTCTCAAGCTTTGGGGAAATATATTGCCAAGTCAGAGGCTTCCGAGGTTCGTCTCGTTCAAAACAAATAGCATGCGATGGTACCACTAATTCCGGTTAGGAATATCGGATATGAACTTAAATCATATCATACTGAAGGTGACAGACCTGAAACGGACATGGTAATAGAAAAAACCTTGTCTTTCGTGCAAGACTGGGACGAGGTGAGCACAACTAAAGTTCACAAAGCGGCCGCAGGAGGAGGAGGAGTGTTGGACGCATTGCGGGAGCAACCATGGGCTATCGACGAACTCAACGAATATGGACAGGCCCCAATTCACGTCGCAATTGAAAAGAACAACTTGGAAGGACTCGAGCAACTGATCGCAGCCAATGCTGACGTCAACCGGCAAGATGCTGCGGGCTATACTCCCCTCATGTTAGCCGCTGATGATGCGAACGACACAATGTTACGGAAACTTTTGGAAAATAGCGAGTGCAAGAAGTGTATTAGTCAAGGCAATATGCAAGGTTTAACTGCGCTACACCTTGCTGCCAAATCAGGGTCCTCGGCCTGTGTCAGACTGCTACTCGAGGCTGGAGCGCCTGCATCGAAGACCGATGATTATGTTAGAACTCCAATGCACAACCTTGCTTGGGTAAGTCAAGAACATCAGCAGGAGATTCACGAGATCATAAAATTTCTACTAGATTATGGGGCAGACATTGAATCGAAAGATAATCTTGGTTTAACACCAATCTTATGGGCATGTCAAAAAGGCAATGTCCCGGTCTTGGGGGCTCTTGTTAGGGCAGGGGCATCACTTGGTGCCATCAATTTGAATCGGCAGGGCATTCTACATACAGTAGCTTGTTCTGACAACTTTGATGTTGTTCATTACCTTGCAAAACAAGATCTTGAGGAAATCGATCCGCAACTTCGAGACCTCCGCGTGGGCGACACTCCTCTTGGCAGCTTAAGGTGGATTTTCAATAAATACTTCTCGAATTTCCACACTATTCCAAGTCAAGAGCAACAAGGGGACTTCATCAGATTCTATTTCAAGTTGCTGATACGTAATTTGGAGCGTCACATGTCAACTCTTCGGGACATTCAAGAAGCAATACAAGATAGAGACTCAGAAGCCGCAAGAGAACTCCTCGATACACTGATCAAAAGAAATGAGGCCGGTTTCCGGCAGGGACTTGCTGGCTGGTATAGAGGACTGAAGTTTTATGTTTCAGATGGTCAGTGGGATAAGTTGAAGGAGGCTATATGCGAGGAATATGATGAAATTTCGGAAAAGACTGAAAGAGCGGTGATTGCGAAAGAGAAAACATTAGCGGATCCTGAGATGAAGGAATTTTTCTAAGACCAACCGAAACAATAAGATATCTTGTTATCAGGACACAAAGTAATAGATTGTATATTCTTTGCAAAATTAGCTATTTACAAATCATCTCTTCTCCGCGAGTTCCTCTGTCCTTGTCTGCTCATCATCTCCCTGACCATAAAGAACATGATCAGACAAGTCTTCGATCTTCAAGAAACACTTTCGGCCCTTGATAACCCAGAACCCAAGTCCAATGACCAACATGACTCCAAATACAACAATAGCAAAGTTCATGTCTCCAATTGCTGGGTTTGGTGACCCGGGGAAGAAGAAGAAAACAGTTGTGATGACGGTGTAGATGATGGAAATGATATTGAGTGCGGGTCCAAATCTTCCAAGGCCAAACTCTCCTCCCGCGGGTAACTTGTCTCGACCAACAGCCATCAAGACAGCAATAGGGATGGCGTATGAGATTGTCAGAGCAATGGTGCTGACACTCAAGATGGCCGAGAGGGTGGTGCTCGAGAAGAAGTACAAGAATCCAAGGATGTTGATGAAAGCTCCTTGGAGGATCAGAGAACGTGCAGGGACTTGCCAATAGGGGTCGACGTAGGCGAAGTAATCACCATACGGTAGACCGCGATCACGAGCAAAACTCCATGTCAATCTCGAAGCTGAAGTGAGAATTGACACGCCCTGACCAAATCCGTTGAAGGTGAAGAGGGCAATCAATACAGCACCTCCTTTGAGACCAACGACATTCTGAACAACCTCAATGAAAGGGAATCCAGAGGGAGCATCCAGGGTCGTAGCAAGGTCTTGGATGCAGAAGAGGCAAGCAACCAAGAAAATGAATCCTGAAATTGCGCCCATAACAATAGCCAAAACCATTGTTCTCGGGGCATTCCGTCGAGGCGCGGGGATTTCCTCAACCATATGAAGAACAGAATCGTATGCAGTGAGGGCATACGCAGACTGAACGAGTCCAAGGAACCATACAACGCCATCAGCCCAACCCGTTTCATTGATCCAAGTTCCAAAGACGAATTTCGGTGATTGGTACTCGAGTGTTGAGTTTGTTCCAACAAGGATGGGAAGGACGAGACAGAATGCGATGAAGAGGCCGACGAAGCCAACAGCGACAAAGTTGTTGAACCAGGGGAGGAACTTTTCGGATCGGCAGCCGACGTAGTTTACAAAGGTAAACAAGATGTTGATCCCAGTGTAGACCAGAAACATGACCCATCCGTTATTCATCCCCGTCCACTCCGGATCAAACATGAGTTTCATCGACAGCACAAACTCCGCCATGAATGCAATCTGCGAAGCAGAGAGACACCACCATCCAACAACACTGATAAACGCCGTCAAGTAACTCGCAAACCTGCCCCACGAAGTCTTCCAAAGCTTGCCGACCCAGAGCGCTTGTCCAAGAGCAGACGGCATGCTAGAGCACATTTCACCTAATGACATGGCGATACAGACATTGCAGAGTGTGACGAGAACAAGACCCCAGAGACAAGTAACTGGTCCGCCGTTCTGGATACCTGTTGCGAGGGATTGTGCGCAGACAGCCCATGTTCCGAGAATGCAGAAGGCTAGGGATAGCATGCTCAGGGTGCTGAATTTTCGGGAGAGTGCCTGCTCGTGCCCGAGGGCTGCGAGGTCGAGGGCATCGCGTTCGGCCTGGTTCATTTGTGTTGCTTTCTCCATGGTACGCCAGAGCTTGAGTCGATGGTCGGATGAGTGTAGTAGAAGGGTGTGATCATTCTCTGGCAGTGAAGTAAGTAAACTGTATAAAAGACGTATATCAAGTATGATATCGAACTCTCTGGTATTGAGATTGAAGTGATATACGGGACATCGGCGTCTTATATATCCATCACTTATCTTTTTACCCCAGACTCCAAAGTTACACCAGCCCGTGCGCTAGGAAACCTCCGTATAGAAACAACGTGCAAAGTATACACCTTTTTCAGTTTAGTGCAGGCGATCTGAAGGTTTCTGGGTGGGTTTCCAACTAGAGAATAGATCGCTTCCAGGGACTGCACGGGTGACTCGGCCGGTCGGTACCTTATCTAACGGTCGCATTACCTCATGGGTTTTTTTGGAGGGGAGCTGATAAGGATGGAAGTTGGAGATATTGGATCTAGAACGAGTCCATGGGGAATTGTTATTGGTTGTTAATTTACGAAGAGGTCAGCTATCGCTTTAACATTCCTAAGAGGGTAATGAGGGACAGAAAAGGGAGGGGTCGTCATCTGCAGAGTCTTGCGACTTGCTATTTATTATAGCTTCTTGTTTTTTTATCCCTTTGGAATGACTTGTGTGAATTCTCATTTCAAGAAAACGCAGGCGAGGGATGCAGAGAGGGAGAGGCGGTGGTATAAGGTTGAGGATGGGACGCCGTTCTTGATCATTTTGCCGTAGATTATTCCTGGCCTGCGTAAGACTTTGGAGGAGTTATAGCGAGAGGATCCAAGCAGATACCAGTAGGACCTCACCTCAGTCTTGTGTTGGAGAAAAGTACAAGTATGTATCTCTGGGCCGAGAATGATTGGCATTTGTAACTCGACGTCAAGATGTGTAAGAATTAGGAAATGTTTTTGACTAGTTTGTTCGTGCATTAGTATCTGCTTCTGAAGTCTGAGTTGGCCGACGTATAAGTTGTTGAGGCTGAGTACAACTGGTACAGCCCAGCCCACAGGGCTTATGCACTATAGCTAAAATGAACGTCAAGCATCAGTGTTCTCTATTCTCAAAACACAACCACCACAGAGAACCTCGCGATATCTTACAGTTGCAATCTCTTGACCCCGTGGGGAAGACCTCACGATGATCCCAAAAAGCAATCCATCACGTAAAAGAAACAAACTCCATCATCTTGATCGTGATAACAGCAAAAAAGCATGGACGTGAAAATTGGGCTTCGGCATTGACCAGGATCATCATCTCGGCCCACACACGTCAGAGATGGTGCTTGTACGGTTTAGGAAAGTTCGGGCGACGAGAGCGATAAGACGGGATCATTTGTTCTGTATCAATTTTTGGAATTATTTTGTTTGACTACATTGTCCCAAAGTTCAGGGTCCTTTTGATGCCCCCCCTTCTTCTCTTCTTTTTTTGGCAATCTGGTTCTCTGCTGCACTTTGAATCTGGTTGGATTAGTTGTGTTCAGAGGATATGAAGGTCAGATGGGTAACCTACTAAGCATAGTACACGGCCCCCTTCCTCCACGCTCTTCACCACGTACTCGACGCGGGTCCTTTCTTCCTTGGTTTCTGATTGACTGTGCATGTCACTGAAGTACCGACTCTTTACTTATGCAATGAGGTCGGCAACGTTCATGGGCATCTCGTCGATCTGGGTAGAGTAGTACACTAAAACGTTAGCTTCATCCATGGCCAGACGATACCAAGGACACTTACACTCAATGTCTCTCAGGATGCGCACATCTTCGGTGGTAACAAAGTTGATAGCAACACCCTTGCGACCAAACCGACCACTTCGACCAATGCGGTGGATGTAGTTCTCTCGGTTGCTAGGAAGGTCGTAGTTGATAACTAAACTGACCTGCTGAACGTCGATACCACGAGCCCACACATCAGTCGAGATGAGAACACGGCTGTTACCCTGTCGGAAATCCTGCATGATGCTGTCCCGTTCCTTCTGGGGCATGTCGCCGTGCATGCTGCTGACTGTAAAGTTCGCCTCGCGCATCTTGTCGGTGAGCCAGTCGACCTTGCGTCGGGTGTTGCAGAAGATGACGGCTTGCGTGATGGTGAGGGTGTCGTAGAGATCGCATAGCGTGTCGAATTTCCAGTCCTCCTTCTCCACGGCGATGAAGTACTGCTTGAGACCTTCGAGGGTCAGTTCGTCACGCTTGACGAGAATGCGAACGGGATCGGTCATGAATTTGGTCGTCATGTCGAGAACGTCGTATGGGAGGGTGGCGCTGACGACCACGACTTGAGTGGCAGGGGGGAGGTATCGGTACACATCGTAGATCTGCTCGCGGAATCCCTTGTTAAGAAGCTCATCGGCCTCATCGAGGACCAGCATCTTGATGTGTCTGGTGCGCAAGTGTCGTCGTCGAATCATATCGGCCACACGGCCTGGGGTGCCTGAGACAATGTGTTGACCGTAGTCGAGCTTGCGGATATCCTCGCCAACGTTTGTGCCTCCAATGCAAGCGTGGCATTGCACGTTCATGTAGTCGCCCAGAGCCATCACAACGGACTGGATCTGAGTAGCCAACTCTCGTGTCGGTGACAGAACAAGAGCTTGTGTCTCCCGCACCGCGGTATCGATGACCTGCAGCATACTGATGGAAAAGGTAGCTGTCTTTCCGGTACCAGACTGCGCCTGAGCAATAGTGTCGCGACCCTTGCAGACCTGAACGATGGCTCGAGACTGAACAGCAGAAGGCGACTCGTATCCGTAAGCGTAGATTCCACGAAGCAAGTTCTCTGCCAAAACATTAGCTACATCACAGAACTGAGCCTCACGACATACCCTTCAGCGACATCGATTCGAAAGTAGGATGGACCGTAACCTCCTTGGAGGTGGAAAATTCCATCCTCTCCTCGGCCTTTCGATCAATTCCTCCAGCGCTTTCAGCCATGATTTCGTATGTTGTTGATGGATATTTGTGAGGTGAAGAATTACGCTTTCGCGATGAAGTTGGGGCTTTTTCTGGTATCAAAGTTTTGGTCTGCAACTTTTAGAGCAAAGACGTAACTCGGGGCGCGCGCCGGATATACTTCGGTCGAGAATCGCGCGCCTGAACGCCACTGGAACTCGCGACAGGCTCCGTAATTTTTTAAGCATCAAGCTCATCTCAACTTTTTATCATCTTCATTCTGTTGAAGATCATTGTATTTTCAATTTGTGATACCCGCGAGAGCTTTTCTACACAAGTTTCGCAAAGATGCTCGTTCTCGAAGAGCAGCGCTACATCCATGAGGATCTTGAGCGTCTGGAACAAGGTATCGCTGATCGCATTCGCGATGAGCCCAGACATGTGAGTAGCTCAAAAC